AAACTGGAAAAGGTGCAAAGACATGCTACTAAGTGGCTCCCAGAACTGAAGGGCAAGAGCTACGAGGAGAGGTTAGAAGCATTAAATATGCCAAAACTAGAAGACAGAAGAAAAAGAGGTGATATGATCACTACATACAAAATAGTTACAGGAATTGATAAAATCGACAGGGAAGACTTCCTGAGACCTGGAATTTCAAGAACAAGAGGTCATAGATTTAAACTAGCTAAACACAGATGCCGAAGAAATATAAGAAAATTCACCTTCGCAAATAGAGTGGTAGACGGTTGGAACAAGTTAAGTGAGAAGGTGGTGGAGGCCAAGACCGTCAGTAGTTTCAAAGCGTTATATGACAAAGAGTGCTGGGAAGACGGGACACCACGAGCGTAGCTCTCATCCTGTAACTACACTTAGGTAATTACACTTAGGTAATTACACACACAGTGTATACATGTACATGCACATGTGTACACACACATACACGTGAAAAGAAAATTACAGGGCGCCGACCAGTGGGCAGAGAGCACCACGCCGGCCAGGCGAAGAAGGCACAAAACTGCATCAAAAGGCTCACCTCGACAACTGAACCCCAAAGTCTCAGCATGACTACAACACGTGCCAAGACTCAAAAAGATCAGTCTGCAAGCCAGGAAGACCCCGGAACCCCAGTAGGCAGAACCGGGTCACACACGAGGAAACAAAGCCCCCTGAACCCACAAAGGGGGCCCAAGAGGAAGAACCCTCTGGAACGAAACCAAAGAACCCAAAGGCACCCAGAATCGAACCAGGGGGAGCCCGAACCACCACATTTGCTGGCGTAGATACACCACAGAAAGGCAAAGCACAGCCCCCAGACAGAACCCCCAGGGAAACGGTCAAAACAGACCAAAAACCGAGGGACAAGGTGTGGGAGCAAACATAACAGATAGGGACACTGAGCCCAAACCCTAGGGGCCCAGACCCAAAACAGACAAAACGGAAAACCCGGTGTAAAATCAACACTCAAACTTTCCCAGAGGAACAGGAAACGGGCATAAAACACCAGAAAAGCAAAGAAACAACAACAGGAGAATAAAACCCCTGAAAGAGGTGAAAAAACTCACCCAAGACGCTCGCTCGCACACCCAGGCGCATATAAACAAAATGCAACACCGCCCTGGTGGCCACGCCGGAAAACCGGCAGAAGAAAATGGCTACCAGAACAGGGGGCTGTGACCGACGCAAAAGATACGTAAACACGCCAGCAAAAGTGGGGAGCAAGCAGACTGGATGGGCAAAAAACTCTGCCCAGAAGCAGAATACCCAGGCAGGGGCAAACCGCCCCAGAACTGCTAGCAGGCATCCCCCACAGCCCTGGGAACCCGCAGCAGAGGCCCCGGGGCAGAGCCGTCCTCCAAGCCCTCCGCCCTTAAAGAAAAGTTAGAGTCCATGGGAAAGGCAGCAAGAAAGGCTGCTGGTAAGACCCGGAAGCCTTGGCAGGAGGAACAGGCTCGAAAACCTCCATCCCCAACCCGAACGGGGCAGCCTCCGAAACCGCCAGAGTCTCGGCCCTAACTAAACCCCGCCCCGACCCCGAAACCCGCAGACGGTCCGGAGCCGGGAACAGGGAGGGAAAGGGGTGAATAGCACCTAACAAAAACGGGGTGGCCCCGGGGTTTCCACGTGGAAAACCAACCTAGCGTGTTGCAGCAACCTAACCTAGCTTGCAACACGGATGCTGCCTGTATTCTGAACAGAAATAACATCAGGAGAGTACTGGAGAACAAGCAGAGAATATCTCTCGCAAGACTCCGGGTCAAGGTGTCAGTGACCCAACAGGCAACATGGCGGAGATAAAAGTGGCGACTGTCACCCGGAGACAAGGGCACAGCAACCAACGATCCCGTACAAGACGGGTTGGAACCCGGAAGACACATTCAATGGTGCCCCGACAGGGGTTTCCAGCGCCCGTAGGGGTAACAACTACGGGAAGTCTGGGTAAGGTGTTGCTAACCAGTTAAACACCCAAAAATAACAAGGGGGTAGAGGACAACACTGAAAACCCCTGCGATGTGTACAATCACGGAGGCCTAGCAGAGGGCCACCAAACACTGCCAGTGGAACTATAGCCACACTAGGCAGACTCCCACCATGGCAAATGAAAATAAAAACAAGAGAAAAACCTCGCAAAAGTACACCGTCTCCAGAGGCAACAGGAACCGGTCGCCGCTTAGGTGGCAGGTCGCACAACACCTTGACGCCCTAACCAGCACAATACCAGTCCCTACCCAGGGCCAAACACGGGGCCCAAGCCCCAGCTGGCCCCAAGAGAGAAGCAAATGCCGAGCAGCAAGAACCTCTACGGGAATGGTTCCTGAATGCCCCAGGGAAGATAACCCTGTCACGCAGGGGCAGTACTCACAGGGCACTTAGGGAAGGAAGCTCTTAAGCGCATGCAGACCTGGAACTGATGAGGAACACCTGGCTACCCCACAACACAACACACGGCAGTGAACGCCACACAAGGCAAACACCGCCTAGGAAATAGGCCAGAGAAGAGTCTATCCCGGTTGACATTAGCTTACGAACTGATGCTAGGCAGCCAGCGCAGTGAGGTCCGGGGCTCCCCCCTCTTCCCCTCTCGGGGTGTGGAGGGCTGCGTGGACTATCGGCACGGCAGTAAAATGTGATGTTTGCTTGTTTCCTTGGGATTGTAGGGAGTTTCTACCTCTCTGTTCGTTTTTTTTTGTTTTAGTGTTTTACCATGTGGGGTTTGTTTTGTTATGCCTACCTTTCTTGGTGCCTAACCCCGGTCGATGGCAGATAAGGAAAACCCCAACCAAAGGGGGGTTTTCCAGGGCCATTGCTCCCTGAAACCTCTCTGAAGTGGCCAGGTTCTGGCGCTGGTCCCTGGTAGGTCTCCTTAGCTAATGTCCCGGTCTAATATAACATACATTAGCCTGATAAGCTCCAGGGAGCCGTAGGGGCTCCCCACAGAATAGGGACATTGACAGAGCCTTCGCCAGACGAGGTCTACTCCGCTCAAGCTGTCAGGCAGCAGTTGCCACAAATATATTATTACCTAATTATTTAAATGTCTCTGATTTTTTCTTAGTTTTTTACAGTAATATTAAAAAATACAGTGAATTGTGATATATTTATATAATAAAATGTGTGAACCATCGCTGTACTCAAAATTATGGTGTGCATATTAGTGATAAAATTATTATGTTCATAAAACAATAAAGAAATAGTTTTGCTGTTGTTACACTATATACACAGGTTATATATAAGTATTTGCATGTTTTGTTCACCATAACAAACCACTAAGTTGGTGTTGTGAGTCAAAATGCAATGAGGAGTGACCACCACACACCAGCCAGCCACTCGCTGCCACTCCCTCCCTCAACAACACATCACTCGCCTTCATTCTCCTCCCACAATGCTGTTTTTGCATTAATTCATTATACACAGACGTTATATATAAGTATTTACATGTTTTGTTCACCATAACTGTACATCTAAGCTTGTTTGGTGAGTAAAGGCACAAAGACGTAGCTACTCACACAGTCAGCTGGTGGCGGCCGCCCTCAAGGCCAGACACACTAATATTTCTCCTCCAACAATACTGTTTGTGGTGTTATTACTCTATATACATACATTATATATAAGTATCTACCTGTTTTATTCACCATACCTATACAAATAAGCTGATATGGTGCCCAAAGATCATAGTGGCCACCAGTAAACAACATGATAAGTCATGCAGACGACGCACCTCCCTCACCAAAATGGCGGCTCCCAACCTACTCTTATTGCTGTTATTACACTCTATACACATGTTATATATAAGTATCTACATTTGTGTTCACCATAGCGAACCACTAAGCTGGTATGGTGAGTGCAGTCAATAAAAGGTGGCCACACACACAGTCAGAAGACGACGCCACCACCCTCCCTCCCACTGCATTACTCCTCCCTCCATGGAGCACAGTGCTAAATACAGTATCACCACAATCCTGCTATTATCAGAATCCTGGTCAGTTTTATCACAGTCAGGGGGTCTTCTGTAATACTATCATCGCTAAATACTAGCATGAACGTATATATTATGGCATTTGTAGGCGATGCTGTGGTCACAAGCTGAACAGCATTGCTGTGAGCTCATGCTGCGTGCATCAACCTTGGTGGCTTGCTCAATACTGAAGCTCTCACACCCAAAAATGATGGCCTGGATTTTTTTTCTAGGTGGCATCTGGCAACTATCGGTCGTGGCTGCACTGTAGCTGCCCCTATCCTAGGCGGGGAGTTTAAATTATAGCGCTAGACACGAAATCATATATATATATATATATATATATATATATATATATATATATATATATATATATATATGACATGCGCGGTTTTGGTTTTGCCACTGATAGCATATATATATATGATTTGCGCAGTTTAAGGTAATGAACTGTACAGTAATTTTAAGTGTTAATTTTAGTGTTGTGCTAGTATAGGTTATGTAAATTGTCAAGAATTCTTAACTTCAAGATGTGTGGCATCAATCACGAAGATGAACAAAAACAAGGTAAGTTGAAGTTTCTAGTTGAATATTTAATAAGTATATGTGGCAAGGCAATTCAAATTATGTTGTTTGTAGTATAAAAATAGTTGGAAATGGTCACTTTTGGACTCAAGAAGTGAAAAAGTACTCTAATCTGCAAAACATGATTATCCGTCTCGGGTTCCTTCCCATATAGTCCGGATAATCGAGTGGAGACAGTATAATAACAAACATGTATAATAAATCAATAATTTCCAAGTTTAGTTATTTCCAAAAAGAAAACATTGCAAAGTAATCATTAATCAGCAAAAAATTAATTGCTTTGAAAACCAAGACTGAAGAAAGGAGAAAAAGTACTTTTGATTTTCTTTATAACAAAATAGTGGCAAACATCTGGATTAAATATGTCCAACTTTTCTTTGCAAAATGCTAAAAGTTAAAGATAAATGAAGTAAGAACTTACGAGATGGGGCAACAATGCCAGAAGTATTAACAAAACCATCTTCAGTCAGCACCTCCGAGAAGATAGAAGGGAAAGGAGGCGTTATCTTGATTGGATCTTCCACTCCAGCCACCTTTCGTACACTCGGAGGTATCTGAGACTCTTGTAAGTAATCTCTATAAATCTGAGATGCATTTTCATAGTGCAGCCCTGGAGGCAGCTTGGTGTCTGGTCTGAAACAGTGTGCATTTAAACATATTTATGATTTAATCTGTGGTCTAAAATTATTTAACTGTATTAAGTACTGACTTCATTTAGTCTATAAAAAACCAGCGTTGAATGTAATGAAACGCCATTTTCTGGGTGAGACCCGAAGGCTCCCCAGTGCTATACCGGGCTGATGTGTATATATTAGACCGTGGCAACAATCAATCGAAGGAGTTCTAGGTCTACCGGGGACCAGAGCCAGAACCTGGACCCTTCAAGAGAGGCACGAGGAGCATTGGCCTAAAGACAACCCCGTGTAATTGGAAGCAGTCTTTGTCTGCCATCTACCAGGTCAGGCACCCAGAAAGGTAGGAATTCCAAAACAAACTGCTGCTGATCAAATAATTTGCAAATCGAAAGCCAAACTAGCAACAGAACTCCCCAATCAAAACCAAGGAAACAAGTATGACGTCACCACAAATGCCGCGCATCAGTCTTCACAACCCCCCCCTCCCCTCCCCGGGAAGGGGACGAGAGGGAGATCCCAGACCTCCACTCCGGCAATTCTGCTCAGTTTAGAGGCTGAGTATCAAAAACGCAAAAAAAAACGCCAACCGGAGGGAGGGATGCCAGGGAGCCTCCGGGTCTCACCCAGAAAATGGCGTTTCATTACATTCAACGCTGGTTTTCTGTGGAGATCTCCTTTGGCTCCCCAGAGCTACCTAACCAAAGATAAAGAAAAAGAGGGACTTACTCGGGAGGCGGTTGTCACTCGCTCCTCAAATCGGAGTCGAGACAACTGGCTGCAACCTGCGACCCAAGGCTACACACGCCCGAGAAGGCCCAGGAACATTAACAAGATACCGTGCGGCCAGGACCCTGTTCAACCTCCAAAAGCCCCATGCCCGAATGTCAGCCCAGGACATATTCCCAAAAACAGCAGCCAGAGCTGCGAACTTATGAACGTTGTGGGCACAGGGATAGACCACAGGCTGGCTGGACCGAATAATCCTGCAGACGACCTGGGTGGCCCGTGCCCGGGAACAGAGAAGGGAAACTGGGTCCACCCAAAGCGTGTCCCCTGTTACGGAGGCTGTGGCGCACAGATAACGGCGAAGAGCTGCAACCAGATACAAAACATGATGCACCCCGAGCCGAACCAACCAAGCATCAACAACCCAAGGACCCCTTTGGAAAGCAGGAGACTCATTCTTCGCCAGAAAAGGAGAAGGCTGCAAACGAACGAAACGACCACCAGGACCGAAAGAGCAGAAACCCCTGCACCGGAAGAGAGCATGAAGTTCCCAACCCAATTTCCAGATCGGGTCGGGAACCAAGTCCGGGTCCCTATAACCAAAATGAGGAAGCCTAGGTGCTTCCAGGGAAGCAATCAACCTAGCGCGTTGCAACAGCCTGAACCTAACGGGCAACACCTGCTCTGCCTGGACCCGAATAGAGCCATCAGTGGACTGGGTAAACTGAGTCACAAACAAGCAACAAAACTCACAGGACTCTGGGTTGAAGGTGTCACCGATCCAGCAGGTAGCATGACAGGCAAAAACAATGAGTCATCCTGAGACAAGGGGACAAAGCAACCCTCAAACTCACACAAAGCGAGGGGGGAGACTCAGATGTCACATCCATCAGACCCACATGACCCCGTGGGGATTTCCAGGCTCCCGAGATGGAACTAACGCTCAGGGAAGCCCAGGCAGGGTACTGCTAACTGGCACCCAAGTCTACCAACAAACTTTTCTAGAAGCTGAACACCCAGGACGTGTCCACTCACAAGGGCCTAGCAGGGGATACCACCAGAAGCACAGAATCTATATAGATATACAAGGGGCAACCAAACAAAGACAGACCCTCACCCGGCAGAGAAAACAAAAATAAAAATATAACCCCGCAAGAGGACAACGTACGCAGACGGAACAGTGCCAGACGCTATGAGATGTGACAACTAGCTGCGCAGTACCCTGTGCCCCCTACCAGTGCAAACTACCTCTTAGCCTAAGGCAAACAAGGGTGCAAGAAACACCTCAACACACATAGGGCGGCTGAATGCCGAGCAGCACACGACCAAGCAGAGGCATAACTCAAGGAACTTTTGGAAGGTGGCCCCAAGCCCCTAGAGCAGTACTTACCGGGCACCAAAGGAAGGTAGCCCTAGCTGCATGCAGCCCGAGTACTTAAAAGAATACTCCTGGCTCGTGCCCCCACATCACAAAGCACAGAGCTGGAGACAAATCAGGCGCCAGAGCACACGACTTTAACTTAGAACATCAGCCTCATAACTGGGGTCTGGAGCTTCCCCCTTTCCTCTCCTGGGATGGGGAGCTGCACAGATGGCGGTGCAGCAACGTGGTGACATCATGCTCACCTGCTCGTTTTTGTTTGGGGAGTTCTGTCTCCTAGTTCGGCTTTCAGCAGCAATTTCTTAACCAGAATAGAGGTTTGTTTTGGGGCGCTTACCTTTCTGGGTGCCTGACCCAGTCGATGGCAGACACAGAATGCTTCCAACCACATGGGGGGTGCCAATAGGCCATTGCTCCTCGTGCCTCTCTGAGGGGGCCAGGTTCTAGCTCGTGGTTCCTGGTAGGCCTAAGAACTCCATTCACAAGACTGATGCCAAAGTCTAATATAGCAATATCGGCCTGGATATGCTCTGCAGAGCCATAGGGGTTTCTCCCCAGAAAATGCTGTTATTAAACAAGAAATAGAACTGTATAATGGTACAATTAAAGTATGATAAATATTATAAGTTCAAACCTGAGCAGTCTAGATGAAGGTACTCCTCTGATAATGCGGATCTCACTGATGGGGTCCAGAGTGAAGTTGCAGCCACCACTCATAGAAACTAAATGTGTCTTGTTTCCCTGTTGAAGCCATTCCAATATGCCCTGGTCACAGCTTAGTCCTAAAGGTAATGCCAAACTTCCTCCTACTATCTGTAGTTGACAAAATCAATGTTTTAGTCTAATTGGAAGAAACATAATAGTATATTTTAAATAATATGTGCCCGTGCCACCTTCAGGGGTGGCATAATCTTTATCAATCAATCAAATAATATGCTTCACAAATGTTAAACATAAGTGTGTATGCACCTTAACACAGACATATATATAGAGAAATGGGGTGGGGGCTGAAGATATGTTGTCTGAATGTGGAGGAATTTCTTCACTTTGAGGGCAGTAAGTGAAGAATACTTTGAGAGGAGGCAGTGCAATCTAACTTCGTACATGAATTAAAATGCAAATATTTGCATTTTATCCACTCAATTTAACGGCCTCTTTTATACTGATCTGCCGGTAATAAAGACCGGTTTGGGAGACCGGTATCTAGAGCCTCATATACCGGTTTGGCGGTCGATATTACCGAAGATCGGTATTGAGTTTGTTTTGATATCAAGGGGGTCCTCACATGGCAAGCAGGCTGCCTACATCTATCGTCCCCCTTCCTCATCCTTACTGAACCTCTCCCCTACTTCCTCACTCCTGCTCTCCCGCACACCCTTTGAGGATCACCCTAAACGGTGCCAAACAGATGGAAGATGTACTAAGGAATGCTAGAAAATTGCAAAGTGATGAGGATGGGAAAGGGTGGTCGTTAAGACGAGATCTTTCAAAAGAAGATAGAGAGAAGCTGAAACTGAACCTCGCCGAGGCAAAACATTTAAATGAGAGCAGGAATGAAGAAGAAATAAATTCTTTTTTCTACAAAGTGATAGGGGTAGGCAAACCAGTAAAGTGGTACATAAAGGCAAACCAACAAAATCAATAGAGAGAGGGGGAGTGAAGAATAAGGAGAGGGGGAACAAGTTCCTGAAGATTGCATACACCAACATAGATGGAGTGAGATCGAAGATACTGGAGTTAAGTGATGTAATACAGCTGCAGACACCAGACATTGTTGCACTCACGGAGACAAAACTTGAAGATGTAATTTTAAATGAGGTCATATTCTCAAGGGGCTACTCAATTTGGAGACGGGACAGAAAAATTAGGAAAGGCGGTGGCGTTGCTGTGCTGGTAAAAGAACACCTAAGGGTGAAGGAAATAATGACTGCCAATCCACAAGAAGTTGACATAATAGCACTAGAGATCTGCTATGAGGATGATAAACTAATGATGATAAATGCATATAGTCCACCGCCAAGCAGCACATGGTCAAAGGAGGAGCTAGATAGTAAACGTGAAGGTCTTATAACAATAATGAGAGAGATTATAGCGAGAGCGGATAACGATAGATCACGACTGTTGATAGTCGGTGACTTCAACTTGAAATCCATAGACTGGGAAGCATATGAAGCTAAAACAGAAGATTTTTGAACCTGTAAATTTGTAGACCTCATCCTGGAAACATTCTTGTATCAACATGTTAAACAAGCTACGAGGATGAGGGAAGGGGACGTTCCCTCCATGCTAGATTTGATATTTACCAGGAAGGAGGAAGAGATATTTGACATTCAGTACCTTCCTCCCTTGGGTAAAAGTGACCATGTCTTTTTGGGAATAAAGTATGCAATGCGTTATAAGCTGGAAGAAAATAAGGAGGTTGAAGCAGTTGAAAAACCAGACTTCAGGAGAGGACATTATGGTGACCTTAGAAATTTTTTTAGTGAGTATAATTGGACAGACTTGATGCTAGGCAAGGAAGTGAATGAGATGTATGGCAAGTTTTGTGAAATATATGATAAAGGCACATAAAAATTTATACCAAAACAGAGATGCAGAACTAGGAAACAGGATTGGTTCAATAGAAATTGCGAGAGGGCTAGAGACCGAAAGACACAAAAATGGAATCGATACAGGAAGAGGCCGAACCCCCAAACATACCAGCGATACAAAGATGCGAGAAACAACTACACGGCAGTGAGGAGAGAGGCAGAAAGAAATTTTGAAAAAGGGATTGCGGACAAATGTAAAACAGAACCAGGTCTATTCTATAAATTCATAAACAACAAATTGCAGGTAAAGGATAATATTCAGAGGTTGAAAATGGGAAATAGATTCACGGAAGATGAAAAGGAAATGTGTGAAACACTAAACGAAAAGTTCCAAAGTGTGTTTGTACAAAATGAAATCTTTAGGGAACCAGATACAATAAGAATTCCAGAGAACAACATAGAACACATAGAGGTGTCTAGAGACGAAGTGGAAAAAATGCTCAAGGAGCTCGGTAAGAACAAAGCAGCTGGCCCAGATGGCGTTTCACCATGGGTTCTGAGAGAATGTGCATCTGAGCTCAGCATTCCACTTCACCTGATCTTTCAGGCATCCCTGTGTACAGGAATCGTAGCAGATGGGTGGAAACAGGCTAACATAGTTCCAATCTACAAAAGTGGCAGCAGGGAAGACCCCCTCAATTATAGACCTGTATCATTGACAAGTGTAATAGTGAAAGTATTGGAAAAACTAATCAAAACTAAATGGGTAGAACACCTAGAGAGAAATGATATAATATCAGACAGACAGTATGGTTTTCGATCTGGAAGATCCTGTGTATCGAATTTACTCAGTTTCTATGATCGAGCCACAGAGATATTACAGGAAAGAGATGGTTGGGTTGACTGCATCTATCTGGACCTAAAAAAGGCTTTCGACAGAGTTCCACATAAGAGGTTGTTCTGGAAACTGGAAAATATTGGAGGGGTGACAGGTAAGCTTCTATCATGGATGAAAAATTTTCTGACTGATAGAAAAATGAGGGCAGTAATCAGAGGCAATGTATCAGAATGGAGAAATGTCACAAGTGGAGTACCACAGGGTTCAGTTCTTGCACCAGTGATGTTTATTGTGTACATAAATGATCTACCAGTTGGTATACAGAATTATATGAACATGTTTGCTGATGATGCTAAGATAATAGGAAGGATAAGAAATTTAGATGACTGTCATGCCCTTCAAGAAGACCTGGACAAAATAAGTATATGGAGCACCACTTGGCAAATGGAATTTAATGTTAATAAATGTCATGTTATGGAATGTGGAATAGGAGAACATAGACCCCACACAACCTATATATTATGTGAGAAATCTTTAAAGAATTCTGATAAAGAAAGAGATCTAGGAGTGGTTCTAGATAGAAAACTATCACCTGAGGACCACATAAAGAATATTGTGCAAGGAGCCTATGCTATGCTTTCTAACTTCAGAATTGCATTTAAATACATGGATGGCGATATACTAAAGAAATTGTTCATGACTTGTTAGGCCAAAGCTAGAATATGCAGCTGTTGTGTGGTGCCCATATCTTAAGAAGCACATCAACAAACTGGAAAAGGTGCAAAGACATGCTACTAAGTGGCTCCCAGAACTGAAGGGCAAGAGCTACGAGGAGAGGTTAGAAGCATTAAATATGCCAAAACTAGAAGACAGAAGAAAAAGAGGTGATATGATCACTACATACAAAATAGTAACAGGAATTGATAAAATCGACAGGGAAGACTTCCTGAGACCTGGAATTTCAAGAACAAGAGGTCGTAGATTTAAACTAGCTAAACACAGATGCCGAAGAAATATAAGAAAATTCACCTTCGCAAATAGAGTGGTAGACGGTTGGAACAAGTTAAGTGAGAAGGTGGTGGAGGCCAAGACCGTCAGTAGTTTCAAAGCGTTATATGACAAAGAGTGCTGGGAAGACGGGACACCACGAGCGTAGCTCTCATCCTGTAACTACACTTAGGTAATTACACTTAGGTAATTACACCCTCACTTTCCCCCCCCCCAAGACCATTCTGGGAAATGGACCAGTAGATTGCCAGCCAGCCAGAGACAGCCTGGAGAGTCTCCATCTAATACAAAAAAGCATTCATGAAACAAGTATTTTATAACTTTTTATTATCCTAATAATATTACTAAACAGAAACTGTAACCAAAAATATATATGACAATGTACATCCAAAATTTAAGAAACAAATCTTTTTTAACTGGGTCAAGTGTGTTAGGCTTATCAGTGAGCCAATCCCTTCCCCACCACTAACACCCCTCCCCCACCCCCGCCCCCTATACATCCCATACTCTCTGCTTCACCTCAACTCAACACCCATCCCGCCATCCATCCATCCCTCCCTCCATCCCTTCCTCCCTCCCTCCCTCCCTCCCTCCATCCATCCATCCATCCATCCATCCATCCATCCCTCCATCCATCCATCCATCCGTCCATCCATCCATCCCTCCCTCCATCCATCTCTCCACCCATCCCTCCTTCCCTCCATCCATCCATCCATCCATCTCTCCCTCCCTCCCTCCCTCCATCCATCCATCTCTCTACCCATCCCTCCTTCCCTCCATCCATCCATTCATCCCTCAATCCATCCTTCCATCCCTCCTTCCATCCATCCTTCCATCCATCTCCATCCTCTCCCTCCCTGCCTACCTCTCAGCCTCTTCCTGCCTACATGCCTACATTTCAGCCTCTCCATCCCTGTTTGCCTGCCCATTCACCCATCAGCCATCAATGACACAATGAGTGCATTTGGAGCCAACATGGTGCACAGATGTTCCTTGATTGCGCAGATATGTCCAACAAAGTTACGGAATGAACATTCCAGCCTCTTGACAAATCAAAACAATGTGCCATGAATATGTGATGTCACAGGGTGGAAGGCACTAGAGTGGTGGACCCAGTGGCTGTCTGTACAAAATATATCTTACCTGAATGTTACTTGAAAAATTACCGACACTTAACTTTGGAAATACCGAAGCTCCAGAAATAACGACCAGGGTACAGCCTCATATAGGCCGTTAAATCGAGTGGATACTGTACAACAAAGTCTAAGGATTTGTGAGACATGACATCTGTCAATTAATGATTAAGAGATGGGGACCCAGGAGCTGGTGCTCAACATCCACAAGTAGTATATAAGTTAATATGGTGGAACCTCGATCTACAAGTTTAATTCATTCCAAGCGATGGATCGTGCACCGAAACAAATTTTCACGTAAGA